CAGCCCTCCTCCCCGCCTCCTCTGGCTCTTCTCTGGCCTCTGACAAGCTCTAGTCCTGGAGTCAGAAGTCAGTCTATGAACCCAGCAACAAGCCCCCCACCAGCAAGGGGAAGGTCTGGATGGGAGGAAGGGGTGGAGGCGGAGAATGGAGGGGATGAGGGATGAGAGCAGCTACAGCGCATGCACGCATGCGCACACACACTCCACCCTGCAACTGGAAATGCCCTGCGCCTTCAAATGAAAGGGAGAGTAGATTTGAATGTTTCCAGCCAGCGAACCTTTGAACCAGATTCCCAAGAATAGAAAGTTCTCTTCCTTTGGCAGAATATTCCAACTGCCTTTCTACAATTCCTGATGCTCTGAGCTTCCGAGCTTTGCCTCCGGAAGCCACCATGAGGAGCCCCGAGGCCTGATGCCTTCCTGAGGTTCCACTGCTCTCCCCAAACCCCAGCTCTTAGCGTCTTCTGAGCTGCCCGTCACAGGCTGCCAAGCAGGCCCCTCATCTGCCTTCTCCATGGGGACTTTCTCTCCTGGGATTTAAGTGTTACTCATAGATCTGCTGAGGGACTTTGACTGAGCTGAGAGAATAAAAGAAACCCTGTTCTGGGCATCTAAGAGCGGTTGCCTGGGGGGCCTGGGTGCCGCTGAGGCAGAAGACAGGATCAAGGACTGGGAGAGAAGCTGACGTGGGTACCGGGGCCAGAGATAACAATCAAGGTGGGAAGGAACAGTGGGGCAGGCAAAGGCAACAGGACAGAACACAGCCACGCACAGACCCCATTTCACAAGTTAGAAAACTGAAGCTCCCAGAGGTCCAGTGACTCTTCCAACATCACACAGGCTTAGGATCTGATCCCTGACTCCAAGGTGAACTTGCAACAATTCTCATGCAACATCAACAATTCTGCTTTCGGTTGGCAGTGCCTGGGCCCAAATTTCCCCATGGTGGTTACCAGAAGTAAGAGGCCGTAAGATCTTAGGATTTTTACAATAAGTCCATTCCCAAGCCTTAGCACTTCCCAGCAGAAAAATTGTGTCACCAGCAAGGGCTGTACACGTTAGTGTCATCATCAGTTTCTAAATCAAGTGGGTACTGACATGAAGCACTGTCTTAGAACATGCAATATCTGAAAAAACCGTGGCAACGCATACCACAACCATATTGCCCAAGTCATTTGTCAGTTTGTGACATTTGGGGCTCTTGAGGATGGCATCGCCGCTTTGCTTTTCTGACTCAAAATTCTTTCTCAGTCTTACACCTTGGGGTGCCTGGTCGAACCAGTCTGACCCACTTCTGGGCCACCTTTCGGCTCGTCTTACAGACCTTGACTGTTCTCCCGGGGCCGTGATTCGGAAACGTGCACCCGGGCATGCACCTAACGTTCAGAGATGAATGGAGGTTGAAATCCCCGCGAGAGGTGTCAGCAGGCTGAAGAGATGACTTGCAAACCGACAGTGAACGCCGAGGTGCGCAGACACATCGCTACAGTCCCGCTGGCAGCCACCACTGCCCTGCGGGGAAGCTCTAACCGAAAGGTGCCCCAGCCCTTCCCGCTCCCGCACCTGCGCGGCTCTTCCCCGCACCTGCGCGGTTCTTCCCCGCCCCGCCCTCCTCCCCTCCCCGGAGGCCCCGCCCTCACGGGCGGTCCTCGGGAGGGGAGGGAGGTGGCCCAGAGACTCGTAAGAGCTGGGACTGGGGCGGGTGGGTGACAGAGGCTCAGGAAGAAGTGGGGGTGTCTGAATGAGGTGAGTGGGATTGCAAAGTGGGTGTTTTTTGTTGTTTTTTTTTTTTTTTTTTTGAGACAGAGTCTCACTGTGTTGCCCAGGCTAGAGTGTCGTGGCGTCATCCTAGCTCACAGCAACCTCAAACTCCTGGGCTCAAGCGATCCTCCTGCCTCAGCCTCCCGAGTAGCTGGGACTACAGGCATGCGCCACCATGCCCAGCTAATTTTTTCAGTATATTTTTAGTTGTCCAATTAATTTCTTTCTATTTTTAGTAGAGACGGGGTCTCGCTCTTGCTCAGGCTGGTTTCGAACTCCTGAGCTCAAACAATCCGCCTGCCTCGGCCTCCCAGAGAGCTAGGATTACAGGCGTGAGCCACCGCGCCCGGCCGCAAAGTGGACGTTTTAAACAAGGCTTGTTATAAACGGCCCGCCTCATGGTATTCAGCAAAGGCAGGTACAGAGCTTGAGTCACTTAGAGATATTTAGGAAGGCGACCCCACGGTGCGGGACAGAGGAACAAATGAGGAAAGCCCCTTGGATGGGCTACTCCCTCCAGGGAGTGGCAGGCAGTCCCGGGCTATCAGGTGGCTGTTTCCTGGGCCCCTCGCTGCCTCCCAATGAGCTGGCCTCACTCCAGCTTTGAGGAGGTTTCCATGCATGGTGTCCCCATCCTGGATGTGGCCTGGGAGCCCCAGGGGCCCGGAGTGGCTTTCTGCTGTGACCCACAGCAGTGTGACAGGTGTTCTGGGCTCAACTCACCAGAGCACGTAAGTGTTCTTTCCCCTATTTTTCAACCAGACACTCCACCCCAATATGTAGGTTTAGCCACGCCGTGTCGTGCCACTGAACTGTGGGCAACACAGGGCACAGATCCCCATAACTGTGGCGCCCTCCTGCAGGGAGGCTGGGGATGAACAGGGAGGGGATTATGCATGATTATTCACGTGCTGCCCTTCGGTTCGGAGATGACATTCCTGTTTTTCTGCGGGTGGTTTGCAATGAACTTCTATTTTCCCAAGGCAGTCGCCCGCCGCCTCACATGCTCTTGTGACCAGTGACACCTGTGTGTGGCTAGTGAGGGTAAGGTGAGGGTCACAGCTTGGGGCTGCATACAGATGGAGCCACTGTCCCGACCCTGTGTTTCCCAACCAAGCTGGCCTGGCCGCGGTGATCTGCCAGCGGTGCGTAAGCCTGACCCATTCCTCTAGCCTCCCTGAGACAGGGGAGAAGGGAGTTCCCCTGCGGAGGGACTGAGCTTCAGACCAACCCACCCCATTTCTGGAAAGGGCAGCTGGCATAACTGTCATGCAACACATTCTCTGGGCAGGAGAGCAGGCTAGGAACCCTACCGAAGGGTTCTCCAATCCATGGGGCTAAGAGGGACCAACAGGATTAAGTGTGGTACGATCCCTAAGTTCCCAGGCACCTGCTTCAGTTGATTATCAAATTCAACAAGGACAGAAATTGTGAGAGACCCAATGCTTCCTCCTCTGGGTGTCTTTTTTGACACTGTTGTAAAGTTACCTGAGTATTTATGTTACCTTTGTGGTAGGCAGAATAATGGCCCCTCAAAGATGTCTACATCCTACTCTCTGGAACCTGTGACTATGTTTCCTTACATAGCAAAAGAGACTTTGCAGATGTCATTATGAAGTGTAAAATGCGGGATTATCCTGGATTATCTAGGAAGGCCCAATGTAATCTTGAGCATCTTGTAAGTGAAAGATGGAGTCAGGAGAGTCAGAGAAGATGTGACGATGCAAACAGTGTCAGAGTGCAAAGCATGAGAAAGACGCCACCGGCCTTGTCTGGCTTTGAACATGGAAGGGGACCACGAGCCCAGGAACACGAAAGCCTCTAAAATCCAGAAAAAGCAAGAAAATGCCTCTTCTCTCGAGCCTCCAGAAGGAAGGCAGCCCTTCTGACCCCTTGACCTCAGCCCAGTGAGACCCATTTCAGATGTCTGACCACCAACTGTAAGACAGTAAACGTGTGTTGTTTTAAGCCACCAAATTTGCAAGAAATTGTTACAGCAGAAGTAGGAAACGAACGTACCTTCCTTTGGAAATCCTATGCATCCTAAGGACAGGAATGACATCTTCGTCCTTTCTCTGTGACCCAATGGTGATGCCTTGGTATTTGTGCAATGGATCTACTCTACCTTGCTCCGTGAAAGATCTTGTCCAAGACACACAGTCTAGAAGCTTCTTGAGGGGTAGGGCCCTGGCCATCCAGCTGTCACCTGTGGTCTGAATACAGGGCCATGCACTAACTCTGAGCCACATCCCCTCTGGGGGTTATTTGCTAAACATGAAGCTAGAAACACAATTGCTTCCGGAGCAAGGGGGAAGGACGAAAGGACACAAAGGGCATCACAATTCTTCTGTGGACATTTTACAGAACAAATAAAGGTTGGAAGGACCTTCCCTGACCCTAGTCTGGAGACCCCAGCCTCTCCCTAGGGCCCACTCTTCCTACTTCTAGGAAAGAATCTGACAGGTATAAGCTATGCCACACTGCGTGAAGTTTTATCAGTGGGTCACCTCTCCCTGGAGCATGTGCTTTCTGAATTTGTTCTCTGTTCCTTGTTAAAAGAGTTTTCAGAGATTGCTCTTCTCTCCGCATAACACCTCATAGTCTCTGTGTCGTCGATGCCCCAGAATGGCCTTGCTGAGACAATCTATGGCAAGAAAGTGTGGAGAATGCAGGAGAGAGCTAAACTAAAATCTTTAATTACGTACACCAACCCTGTGCAAAGACAAGAACATGGAACTGTCACCAATTTCCTGGATAAATTCTTGGATGCTTTTGAGTCCAATTCCTGGTGTGGAGCAGTTCCATGTCCTAGCTGTAGAATTATATGGGTTTATGCATAGGGGTGGAGGAAAATGAGATGGTTTAGGGTAAATCTTAGATCCCTGACTGGGGTGATGAGAAAGATGGTTCACTCCATTAACTACAATTTGAAGACAGTGAGAAGAGAAAGTCTTGGGGTAAACGGACATAACGCTCTGTTGCCTGCAACAGACCCATCTGGAGATGTCTACACTGGCATCGAAGTTAAGGGGTCGAGGGTCCAGGACAGGGGTCCTGGCTGGAGTAATCAGTATTGGGAGCTGATGCCGAGAGAACAGATTAGTAGATGAAGTGTTCCAGGATGAGAAGAAATGAGAGCAGAGTTTGAACCCCTCGTCAACTCCAACATTTAGGGAAATAGAAGTAGAAAAGCTAACAAAGTAGTGAAGAGTGTCAGGAAAACCAGGAACAGGTGGTCTTCCAGAAGCAAAAGGGGGGAAGTCTTCAAGAAGGGATAGGTCAAAGATACCAAATGTTCCAGCAAGGTCCAAGATGATGAGACCACAAAGAGGGCCCTGGACAGGGCAGTCCCAGGGCACTAGTGGCCGTGGTGGGGCAGCTTGTGTAGTGTGCATGCATGTTGGCTGTGCGTGTGTGTGTCGTGTCTGTGTGCACAGGCACATGCCTTGGGTGGGGAGCGGGAACAGAAATGAAATCACAGAGGATTGGGGGATGAATAGGAACTGAGGACACAGAGACAGCAGATGTAAGCTACTCTTTTTAGGAAGCAGGGAAACGAGGGAAGGAAAGAAATGGGGCAAGCACCTGAAAGGGAATTGGGGTGAAGAAGAGGCAAGAAGTACCCACTGGGTGAGGGAGAAATGAAGACGCCCATGAGCAAAGAATCAGAACACCGGGTTGGAATGCCTGGCAGAATTAGACAGGAGTGTTGCTGAATTAGTGATAACGAGGACAGTGATGTCATCATGCCCACACCCCTGTGAAGGTGGAGGATGGCCCTTCCTGGTTGCTCTGAAGTGGTCTTCCCTGACCACAGTCTCACCTCGTGGAGTTTGTCAGCCTTCTGGGTCTGCTTCTTCCGACTTCTCTGAGCAGCAACTCGGTTTTTTTCTCTCCTCCGGACCTTCCTGTCATCATCTTCAGGGCTCTGGGAGGAAACAATAGGGGAGGTGTGACGTTGAGGCCCCATCTCTCTGCATTCAGCATTGCTCGCTGAGGTGCAGCACGCTCTGTGCAGTCCACAGCAGTGCTTCTGGCTACATCAGTGGGCCAACAATAGCCCCTTGTCAAAGAGGCACTGGCTGCAGCTCTGCTTAACTGCTAAACCCATGACCACCTTGAGAAATGTGTGGGGTGACCGCCGTTTAAAAGATGAGGAATAAGAAACTCAGAGAGGTTAAGGAACTTGCTCCAGGTATCGCAGCCAGTAAGTGGGTGAGTGGGAAGTGGAACTCAGGTCTGTTGGTCTCCAAACCAACGTTCATAAACCTCTACCCCACAGGGCGTGTGCCTGGAAGAGTTGTGGTGTCAGTGTCGTTCATTTGGGACTGGGAAAACCAGGGGGCATCAGCTCTCTGGAACTGGCTGTCTGCCAGCCCTTACACACAAAACAGGTACTTTTGATGCTGCGTGCAAATCATGATGACACTTATAACCAATGGCAACCACGTAACTCTACCAACACACCCGATGATCTTACACCCCCACTGACACTGTACTCATTTGAACAATGCTAGACTGGCATTTTGTTTCAGAGACCAGAGTGAATCAGAAAGCAAATTTATGATGTATCTTGAAAGCTCTTAGCTATATGTGAGATTTGGCCACACTTAGTCAAATCCTTTAAGAGTGATCATAAAACAGGCAGGCAAAAAATGCATCCACCATGGTAAAAATACTTCACTCAGTTGTAGAAAACATGGAAAAATACAGCAGTATTTGCTTTCCAGAACTTGTAAGCAAAGACACCAAAGGTGAAAAAATACTACGCTTAAAGGGTTTAAAAGCCAACAGGCTAGTGGGGTACAAACACAAGAAAGCCATTGAGTTATTAATAGTAATGGAAAGCAAATATTGATAACCAAAATAGTGGATATATTCAGTTATCATTTGATCTAGTCTTGAATTCCAAATAAGAAAGACACAAACCATCTCCCCAAGTCACTGCAGGTAAGAATTTTCGGCATGCGCAAGAAGTATAAGGGTTTAAAAGGAGAAGAATAAAAAATAAACACACGTAACAGACAGAATTGGCCTGGAGACGAAGCTTAGGGAAACAGAGACAGGTGTAAAAATGTAGTCTTCCAGAGGCAAAGAAGTCTTGATAAATATGACCAGAACATCTCGGGGGAACATGTGATATTAATCACAGAACTTTAGCTTTAGAGTCACACAGATCCTAGTTTTGTCGCTTAGTGTCAATAGGGCCTTGGGTAAATGATTTAAAGTCTCTGAATTTTCAATTTCCTCATTTATTGTAAGTGTGATTCATTCACTCTTTCAGTGTGTATTAACTGAGCACCTACTATGTGCCAGGCGTGTCCTAGGCATTAGGGATACAAGCCCTACACAAATGGTCAGTGATTTCTGCAGCCTTCGCGCTAACAGCCTAAGGTTTAGGGTTGGCATAGATGAGATTTTGTCCCAAAGCTCCCAGCCCACAGTATGCCCTCGAGAAGTTACCTGCCTTTGTTGAGGTTGCATTTTTTTAAGTGAATCCCCCATAGTGCTTTTCACCATATCATGCCTCTTTGTTCTCCATCATTAAAAAGTCACAGGGCACAAGAAAGTAGCCTGCATACTGCTCTCTGGGAGCTGACAAGTCCACCTGGATTGGTCTTATCACCTATCACATATGGTCACACCTGCCAACCTAGCAAAAACATTTAATCAAGACAGAGAAGCAGATTTGAGATATTCATATATTATTAACCATATCTCATTTAGTCCTCAAAAACCCTGAGAGGTTAACGTTATTGTATTTATTTTATAGCTGGAGAAACTGAGGCCTGGAGAGGTGTGTGGCAAAGCTGAGGCCCAAACTCAAGTTCTGTGTGACACTCTAGTGTCGCCTGATGACACTGTGTGCTAGGTACCTAACTGGGAAGGGGACAGGGAGGAGGGGAAGTAAGGATGAAAATATTCAGTCTTCCTCCCAAGGCAGCAGGGTGCGAAGTTTCTGAATGGCCATCCCTGAGGGCGACGTGATCCTCAGTTCCGGAGTGCGCAGTTGTAAATGTTGCCCGGGACAGAGAGCAGAGGACTGACCGGATGGGGGCGAGGGGTTTCCACCAGCGCTGAGGGTGGAGTCTGCCCACTGTAGGCCCCCACCCCACACCCCCAGGCTGACCGGTCCCGCTTTCCCCATTCGAGCGGCAGGCAGAGGAGGGTGGATATTGGGAGTGGCTGGGGACGAGCCACCCCTTCGGGCTGAACTGTCCTTCTCGGCGCTCCGGCCGCCCCCCCTCCTCGGAGCGGCCGGGAAGGGCTGCAGCGCGCAGGCGGCTCACGGAAGGGGCGGCCCCCGGAGCAGTGCGGAGCCCACGTGCGGGGCAGCTTGGGCCGCGCGCGGCCCAGCCAGGCGTCGGCGCCCTCGGGTCTCTCCACCCCCAGGGGCTCAGGAGCCATCCTAGGCGCCGCGGACCCTTGGGCGTGCGCCGGGGTCCCTGGACCGCCCCCACTCCCTCCGTGTCTGGCTCAGGCAGCGCACTCCGCCCCCGCACCTCCGCGGTCACCGCCCGGGGACCCCAGCACCCACCTCCTCGCCCCTCCCGCGCCCCCCTCCCCACAAGCCCGCGGTCCCCTGGCCCACTACCTGCGGCTGCGGCTGGATCCCGGGCGTCGCAACGCTCCTCTGCAGGACGCTGCAGGCGACTGGGAGCACTTGCGACATGCCGGGCGCTCCTCCGGCCAGGCCCGCCCCGTCGCGCAGCCTCGCAGAGGAGCCGCCGCCCGGCCCGCCGCGCCCTGCACGCGGCGCTCTGCCTACAGGCGCTGTCCCGCCGCGGGCATCCTCGCGCCCCGCGCCTGCCGGCCGCGGGCCCCCCGCCCCCTCGGGCTTCCTTCTCGCCCTCCGGCTCCTCGCGCCGCGATCGCCCGCTGTCCCCACCCCCCGTCCCAGCCCGCCGTCCTTCCCGTCCCCGCGTCTGCCCCTCCCACCCCCGCCTCGTTTCCTCCGCCCCCGCCCTCTCGCCGCACCTCGGGGTCCCAAATCCCACCCCTGCCGCGGCTTTCTGCTGGGGCCCCGCGCTTCGTGGAAGTCACGTGGTGGCTCCGAAACTCCGCCGGGAAGGTGAAGCCCACCCACGACAGGCGACGCCAGGGCGGGTGGGGGTCAGGAGGGAGCGACGCAGCCTTTGGGGTCCTTGGCCGCTCTCAGGGAACCGGGGCTGAGAAACTCAAGTGGGCGGTTTGGGGTTGGTGGTTTTTTCCCGGTCCCATCACGGCACCTTCCTGCGCACCAGCCACGCCTTCCCGCCGCCCCCCGGCACGGGGGTCACCGTCTCCGGGGACTTTCTCCGCCGCCATCAGTCGTCCGGGCGCCACTCTCACTCCCGCGGCCCGGAGGCGCAGGCCACGGCAGGGGACAGCCGACCTGCGCAGCCGAGAGCCGCGGCGCCCCAGGGCTTTTCTGCGGGGAGCACCTACCCTTCTTGTCCCGGTCCCGCCGGCCCCGAGGGTGAATTCCCTGAGTGGAGGGCGAGGGAGGGAGCTCGTCCCGGACAGGAACGGTGACGGGCTTCCCTGAGAGCGAATCTGCCACGTTGGACGTCACTGGTGACAGGTGCAAGGATCTGGCCCCCCACGTTAAGGTTAAATGGACCAGATCCTTTTTCTTTTTCAAGATTAAAGTGGCAGGTGCCCTGCCTACGGGGGAAGATGTGTCGTTGCGGCCACGCCCACGCCGAATCGCGGACCGAGTAGAGGTACAGCATGTTCCTGTCCACCTGCCTATCGGTTAAAAGATGCGAGGTCAAGACAATTGTACGTGGTCCCAGCAGAGTCAAAGCTAGCGGTTACGGGCTGTGGTCTGCAGGCTGCGCGCACCAGGAAAGAAAGATAACCGCGAGTCTGGCTGGGCGGGTGGGAACCAGAGCAGAGGGGCAGAGGTGCCGTCCGAGTGTGGTCGCTTAAGGCTCGCGGGCAGCAGTGGGCGTGGGGGACGGGCATTTCTGATTCCCGCTCCAGTGCTCCTGGCCCTCCCTCGGGACTTCAGACCCACCCTTGCCAAAGCTTTGAGAGCGGCTTGAGTGAACCTGGAGGCCTGGCAGCCGGCAGGAAAGCGAGTGGAGATTCTTGCCTGTGTGAGCAGGAGCTTAGGCCACCTGAGAGGCGGGAGAATGACAGGGGTGGGCTCAGCCCTTTAGAGTCGTAGCAGTACCGCACAACACGCCAGCAAGAGTCACACCTGCAAGATGGACAACACAGTCATCTCTACCATCTCCCTTTTGTTTCATCACCCAGCATAATTCATGGTTGCTCCGGGGCTAATACCTTTGCATCCCACCAGGTACACACACAGCGCCTAGCACATTGCTCTTGTGCACGAGTGCCCAGTACATTGATTGCAGCAGGTCAGTTGAGAGCCCTCATTCTTGAAAAACTAAAAGGTGTCTCTAACAAGATAGGAAAACCTCTAGGTCAAGTGGTCATAATTCAGAAGTGATTTCATTCCCCAATGTTGTTTGTGCATGGAAAGGGCAGGGTAAAAACACCGTGGGGACATTTAGGTGCACTCCCTCGCCTCCATCTGGTCCTGTCCACTTTTCTGCTGTCATTGAGCCACACCACATTCTAAGTCCTTCAGGGCTGCCCCTTCCCTGTTTCTCTCCGCGGAGCCTGGAACAGCGTCCCAGCACACAAGAACTCTTCATACGGGCTTGTGTTATGCAAGGGTTTCTTCAAAAATATTTAAAGGAGGCGGTTAACTAGCATTTACGGAAGAGAATGATTTGACCTACATGCCCTACATCAAAATGAATGGATTAAATAGATGCAAAAATAAAAATCAGAGAGGTGAAGCATAATTAAATCCTTATTAAAGTCCTGGGGCTAAGTCAAGGAGAGGACTTTCTAAGACGACACGTGATAGGAGAAATGACATTGGTAAGATCTGAACAATATAAAAGCTCCAAATTGTTTTAGATGACAGTATAACCAGAAATTTAAAACAAATAGATTGGGAAAATGCAGTGGAAATAAGAAAGGGTTAAAATCTATTCTCTATACACCTCATGAAAAGGAATAAGCAAAATATCGAGACAGCCCCTCAAAGGTAAATTGCGTAAGTGGCATGAACTGACTTTTCCCAACAGAGGAAATAATCAAGGAAACTAGATATAGGAAAATACATGTTAAAATAAGAAT